GATGTCGGCAGGGGAGCGTCCAGACTAGCGCGCTGAGCGGACAAACAGCTGATCAGCTGTTTGTCGGCTCAGTGCGGCAGCCATGTAAATGTAAATGAAGCCATGATCATTTAAATCGCGGCTTCATTTGCCTTTGCCTATGTGTCTAATCTACATGTCTCTGATGACAGAGGCATGTAGTCTAGACACAGCCTTACTGATGAATAATCCTGCTGATTTCAGTAGAATCTGATGAAGGGATATTGGTCACTATAAATAAATGTAGCACAATCTGGTCTTGATTCATTTGCGTGGCAATGCTTTCCTCTATTGGCTGGCTATATTTGGCAACCCTTTCCAAGACAACAGGAAGTGAAGAACACATGTTGATTAAATATTCTTCTTTGGACACATTGGTAAATGCTTATCTTAGATTCTTAAAAGTTAGAGATGTTGTCCTGGGCATAAGTAACTTGACTCATTTTAGTGTGCATGTTTGGAAAGGTACATGAATCAGTGGACTAGATGAGATAAGGAGAAACACTCTGGTACCAGGGGAAAATGAACAAGATAAACTTGGAACATGACCCGTGCATGCACAGAGCATGCTGTGCAGTCACTGGTTCCTGAAAAATAACCACACCAAATAATGAAACGTGTGATGGAATACATAGTTACGAATATATATATTATTAGTATTGACAGAAATGTATGCAAGGAAAGGTGTTGCCATTTAATTTTGGATGAGTGGCATACCCCATACCCAGTACTGATGTCTGACTTTGATCAGCTCAAAACAGCTTTGCTGTATACCAAATAAAGAAACACAATAGATGAAATTGGAGTTGAATTGAGTTCTTGGGGAATCAAATGGAAGAGGTTTTTGGGGAATCTCAACAAAAGATAGAATACCAACAGCAGAAATATCCTGCCTGTAAGTTAACATGTAAAATATCAGGTATCTCAAAACGAGCTGAACTAATGAATATTGAAGAAAAAAAGTACAGAAAATGCTTAAAGTCTGATGATAGCTTATATTTCTTCACTTCTCCTATATTATTATTTATAGTGTATCCCTACTTGATATTATGATTTGAGATCTTTCATTTAGATTTGTAAGTGCGATGATCTGAGAGTAGATATGGGATTATATACTATGTAGGAGTTGTATATATTGTAGGAGAATATATATTTTGAGGTTTTGTGACAATGCAGAAATAGTTAAAAAATTAAATAGAACATGAGAAATATCTAATGTTAAAGTTTTCTCTAATTTTCTGGAATTTTATTTTTTAATTTATTTAATTTTTTGTGGGAAGTTAATTTCTGACAAGAAGAAAATTTAAGTTTTTGAAATGTGGTGCTATCGAAGATCTTTGTGCCTTTCCAGGATGGAAAAAAATACAGGCTGATGGTGGAAGTATTGGAGAGAAACAGACCCTGATGTCAGAAATCAAAAAATTCTATTTTACGGACTTTGGTCCCATTAAGTACAGAGATGGACATAGAATTTGATTACGAAGGAAATAGTAACAAGGAGAACCACAAAAGAGATGGATGGATAGCATGTTGCAGACCACTGGAATGTCAATGCTGAATGCTTAAAGCTGTTTAGTCTGGAAAAGAAAAGACATAATAACCATTTTCAAGTACATAAAAGGAGAAGGAAGAAATTTTTTCTTCTTAGCCTCTGAGGATAGGACAAGAAGCAGTGTGCTTATATTGCAGAAAGGGAGATGTAAGTTGGACATTAGGAAAATCTTGTCAGGGTGGTTAAGCATTGGAATAATTGCCTAAGGACTTTGTGGAATCTCCATCATTTGAGATTTTGAAGAGTAGGGTAGACAAACATCTGTCAGGGATGGTCTAGATTATACTTAGTCCTGCCGTGAGTGCAGGGACTGATTAGATGACCTCTTGAGGTCACTTCCAGTCCTATGATTCTATGAAATTTAGACATTTATGGTGAAGACTTCCAAAAATTCTGCTATAATGTCACTGATATTAAAACATGAATAAGTAGGTTTAGTTATTTCACTTTAAACTGTTCTATTTCCTTCCTTGACTACTCTTTTGCATGTGTGTTATAAAAGTCTTATTTTTTAAATGTTTTAGGTGGCTATAGTCATGCACTTCAAATGTTGTGTTTAACCTTTTATATAACCAGAGACATCATTTGCATCCAACAAAGGAACACTTGTCTGCACCTATGACTGTATATATCACCACCAATTAGGAAGCATGAGGGTCTATATTACCAGACATGTCCCTGGAAGCACTAGGTCATTGGATTCAAAGGGTTAACTGATGGCATTTAATGTACTTATCTGAGTAAAGAGTTTCAAGGCTAGCAAATACTTCCCCTCATATTACAACTTGGTCAATTAGCAACCT